GGCCGATCGGAGCGCATCGCGCCCAGCAGCCCCTTGTGCAACAACCACCCGTTTCTGCTCTTTTGTCTCTGATGATGGATTCGAGTAGGAATCCGAAACGTCAGGCTAATAAAGCTCTTGTCCCGGCGATCGTGTCTCCTTCTTCAAAACATACAAACCTCCAAAGGACAAATGGACACGAGCGCAGCCAATCCAGACGGGGCGTGCACGATGGGTGTTCACCCATCCGGCCACTGGACCCGCCCGTTTCGTCGCGCCATGGTGCTCAATGTGCAGCACTCGCAGGTAGTCACGCAGCGACCAGAAATACATGCTAAATAGAGTTCCCATAGAGACAAGAGCGGTTGGAGTGGCCATTTCTGGTTTACTGGCTGCCTCCTTCCTATGATAATGCATACGATCACAATCGGCAGGACAACAGGCCCGAGGTAAAACGTTGGACTCAATGACAAAAGGTCCCAGGCTCGAATCCCAAACGTCCCGAACCTGGGGCTGGGTAGGGCCGGCTGACGACGGCTAGCAAGCCAGAAGCGGTCATCCCGGCCGCCGCTGTCTTTGACGGTCACCTCGTCTCGTTAATACTACTATATTGCCCTGCGACTGCCTGGGAGGGTGCGTGTCCCGTAACCCAGTTAGTGAATGGACTCATATTGCAACCGACAGGACAATAGGGTCGTGACTCAGGGGCAGAGCGATGGATTCAAGTATTCGAATCTCGGGTGCTCCAAACCTGGGGTTGGCTGGTGACAGCTAACAGGTCAGAGTCGACTACTCTAGCCTCCCTTGTCAGTACTTTTTTCAGCACACACATGTGTACCTATCGTTCGTTGTAGAAGAGGAGGCGAGTTCACAGGCTAAATTATATTTGTAGTGACGTTTCGGAAACCTTCCCATTTCCTGCTGGCTTCACTGTACCCCAAAACATGGCTTTGTTCATTTAATGTACAATTCGACTACTAAAATACACATTTGGAAGGCCCTTTGGCGAGGGAGAGTTCGAAATGCATCGCGATTAATGAAATGCACATTCCCACGGAGGTTCGGTGTAAGACATTTTGTCCTGAATAAGTTTACCAACCCTTGCAAATGCCCAGTCCTTTGGGCACAAGCGCCAAACGCTTAGTATCGCAAGCCTACACTGATGAGATGCATGCGTTTTTCGTTTATTTGACGGAATTTAGATACAAAAGAGATGTGGTTAATTGAAAAAATAAAGTAATGGTGACGGCGTCAAGAGATTGCAGGTGGGCGAGGAGTCAGAAGTCCCGGAAGGCCTGAAATAAAAAGCAAAGCTAGTGTAAGACAGGCAGTTAGTTTTCGTGTTACCGACATTAGAGGGGCGCTCACTGATCGTTTTTACGGAACTCACTCGTCCCATTGTGCCCAATCAGCAGCCGCACAATATAGGCAGAATGGTATTACCGACAAAGACAAGGGAGACTGGAATGGCCATTTCTAACTTATTGGTCATCGTCGTCGTCGCCGTCAGCCAGTCATACCCAACCCCGATGTGTGGAACATCCGGGGCTCGGACTCGCGATCTGTTAGTTAGAAGTCCAACACCTCTAATCACTGAGCCACGAGCTTGTTGTCCTGTCGGTTGCGATCGGGAATGTACAATGGTAGAGGGGTGCTCACCGATCGTTTTTACGGAACTCACTCGGTTGGTGACATAGCGATCTTAGTAGCAGCCATTCGCCCTGGGTTGCAAAGTAACACCGGATTTCAGATTTAAGATTCGTGATTGTGTTGGAATTTTATAGAGCTTTCGACATGGGAGTTTTGCGAGCGACAGACGAGAATATTACCTGACCTAAAAGTTTCGGTACCAAAAAAACCGGCCCGCTTGGATGCAGACAGCTGGCGGGAGGCTGAGGTGGCAAGAATCTAGCAAATCTAATTGGCCGTTTACTTCCCGCTTATGCATTATGACGCTGCGCTGGAAGCTGTGGCTTGGAAGGCTGATGGGACAACTCAGTCACCCTTTCAGGAAAAAGAGACGGGCCGCAGTGGGTCCTCTCTCATGTAGCCACTATGGCACTTCCACTCAGGTTGGCTGCCCGCCGCCCCTTTCCTGTCTCTATGAAAACCTGGTCAGTTGTGCACGGACAGGGCGTGTGGCATGCTTAGCTTTGGCAGTCACTGCGTCCGATCTTGTCTCCAGTTTTCTTGACTCTCTAATGACACTTGACCCAGGAGGGTGAGAGTGCGGTAGGTGCTGTGCAAGTCAGATGAGGCTCTTAGTCTCCTCCGACGCTTCTGTCTGACAAGGAAGTCGCCGCCGTGATCGTGTTGGCAATTTAGGCGTCGGCCGTGTTGGATGAAGCTTCGCACGTGAAACCTGCATCTGATCGTTTGTCGGCTCCTTTGAAGACGGGTTGTGCACCAGTTCGTCGCTTTTGGGCGACGGCGAATTGGGCAGCTTTCGAAGTCTGCTGTCAAGTGCTGCGTGGCGTGTCACTCTCTGTTTGCGGGCTCGTCCAGTCATCCTCTGCAGGAGCAGATTTGTACCGATCTTGCCCATAAGCTCACAACATCTGGTCGCCTCTTGGTCAATCCTCTTACAGTACTTGTGAAGTCTCGCGTGGCAATCTTGGAGAAGCACTCAGATCATTCTTCTGCCATGTTGAAATACTGCTCGTCTCGCCAAATCCGTGTTCACCGGGGGCTTGTATGGAATGCATTTCGGCAATACATTATTGTCGAGACACCTGTGCAAAAACCGGATCTACGCATACGTAGAGGCCTCTCGACGGGCGAATGTTTCCCATCGCCGGTCCGATCGGAGCGTATCGCACCCAAATAAGTTGCCAATAGAAGCAAAGAGACGAGTACCAGGAAGCAGTCGTGAAGGAGACACGATCGCTGGAACAAGAACTTTATTCGCATGACGTTTCGGATTCCTGCTCGAGCCCATCATCAGAGACAAAAGCAGATACGGGTGGTTCATGCACAAGGGATGCAGTTGCCATGGTACCGCATACCTATGAAAATCCACGGCTCCCTCCCTCATCGAGGATTGTCGCACTTCGTCTGATGACTGTTCGATAGCCGACATTCGCGTCGTTAATCGTTCCAATTTCATCACGGGCGTTGGATATTGGTGTGATGAACGCTAGACCATCGGACCCACCGACCATGGCATTGGGAAGAGTGTTCACTTGTGCGCTCCGCAAGTGGCTAATTACTCCGCGTAGGCGAAGTCGCAGCACCGAATATGGAAGGGGAAGGTCAGTGCTTCTGTTAATAGACTGGGGACCATTGGGGAAGCCGTGAATTTTCGTAGGTATGTAGTAGTACGATGAATGAATCCTACAAATACTTCAACCCCTTGTGTATAAACTACCCATATCTACTATTGTCTCTGATGATGGGTCCCAGCAGGAATCCGAAACGTAAGGCTAATAAAGCTCTTGTTCCAGCGATCGTATCTCCATTCTTTACGAATGCTTATACGTCAGACTCGGGGGCCTAGAGTTCGATTCACAGGTTGCTCATACTGAAGGCCGGTTCGCTAATCGCCATTCACAGAGGCGCCGGGTAGACTACCACCAGGCGAAGGACATAATCCAGACAACGCAGGCGGTCTAACGACAACGAAAAAACGGAAGGCCGTCTTTCTCACCTGTTTTGCTTATGAATCAAGGGGGGGCGGGCACGGAATATGGACTCCCCAACGTACTACGGGTAGCTTTGCGCCGAATTTCAGGGGGAAACCTAACTTCCCGAACTTAAAGCAAGGCTAAAACACACAGTGATCCACTGGAAAGCCTAGGTGAAGACGATTAACTGTCGATATGGGGTGCAGGCGCCAATCTGGCTCCGGACTACACGTGCGATGACAAGGCTAGTCCTTCGTCCACAATTGACGTAGACTTTGCATACAAATTCACTAGTGTTTATAAGAAACGTCGGCTACCGCCACCTGACTTAATTAGTTAGTCTAGGCCGTTGCGTCCGGCATGGCTGCTTATCACCACACATGATAGTTCCGGTTAGACGGCGCCAGAGCGGAATGGTCAGCTAGCTTGGATAGCGACACACCAAAGCAGCTACTCCTTCCTCCATCGCACTCGGAGGCAACCACCGCCGTCTGGGAGACATGGGACTCGTGAATTAATTGGTTGCACCGGAGGGAACTTGCGCAGCGTCTACCGCACCCACTGTTCACAGCTACTGTCTCGACAATAAGTCGAAACAAAAAAGATGGGCGCGGGTTCAAAGGTCGACGTGGTACAGCCCCCCAACCTAAAGTAGATGCGCTGTAGTCTGTGCAAACGATCACCTTAGTGTGGATTTTTCCGATCGATTTTTGGTTCGCTTACAAATTCAAACACATTATTCGCAAAACATGCATAAAATGTCCCCTCCCTCACTAGTACTTATTTGGTAGCAAATTACGTCTTGTTCAATTTTTTCTACTTGAAAAGAGCATCTTGCAGTTTATAAAAATTTTCTCGATTCCTGAATAGTTTTGAGGTCGATCTGGCGTTGCATTTGCGTTCAGCGTTTTCACTTAACGAGCTGTATACTTTCCGTGGAGGAGAAATCCTACGTCACCATACACTACTAAGAAAACGTCATATAAGTAGCATTAATAAACGTTTTGATGTGGTGCTGCATGGATGGACATTCCAATGTCTAGAGAAATCTCTCTCCTTCTCCCTCCCTCCCTCTCTCTCTGAGTGCGGAAAAGAACGTCCTTTACACGTTTTCTATAAAATATATTTGAATTTATAAGGACATCGAAGATAAATAGGAAAAGGTCATACTACTTAAACAGATGCAGATGGCCGAAAAGAAGCTCTGAGTGCGGAAAAGAACGTCCTTTACACGTTTTCTATAAAATATATTTGAATTTATAAGGACATCGAAGATAAATAGGAAAAGGTCATACTACTTAAACAGATGCAGATGGCCGAAAAGAAGCTCATTCAAAAGTCGGCATCCCGGCGTGACTGGAATATTTTAGGATTATGCTGCACGATGATTAATTCTACGGTCCCACTAAAGCAATATTTTGGAATCGAAAACATTCTTCAGAATTTCAGTTAACACTCCATGAGACAGCACATCTACTTTATGCCTGGCGCATACGAGCTGTTTCCTAGACACGAATAGGCATGTGAGGAGCACAACCGCGCTTTCCTCTCCCAGCCTGAACCAGTGACACGTCCGAATCAGTGGGTAAAATGAACGCAGTCATCATCTATCGCAACTCCGCAGACGTTTATGGAGGTCTGGCCGCGTACACCCCCCACACATACAGACAACTGCTAAGTGCATACTACTTCCGCGGAATTGGGAGTCTAATTCAAACCCCTCTAGCCCTGGACATTTAAGGATCTAGCATGTAGGCCTGTAGGCATCAGTGGACGGGAGGGCAGCAGGCCAGGAAACAGCATGTATAGGCCTTCCTGCAGTGGCACGTCCGTGCTATCAGTGATATGGGAGGTGTACTCCATTGTCTCCGATAATGGGCTGCGCCGTGGAGGTCAGATTGGCCTACGGCAGGCGTTTATCGATCTGCGCTGAGTCAGTGCGAGGTCATAGCTACTGTCGTACATGAGTGCCACTGCGCCAAATTTCCACACCCGGTGGTTGACAGGTGCATAGGGTAAGGGAGGGGGGGAAGCAGGGGGAGAGAGCATGGCATTACTAACAAAGACAAAGGAGACTGTAATTGACCATTTCTGGCTTGTCAGCCGTCATCATAAGTCAGCCAGAGAGTGAGGTCTACACTTCGGAATGAATCTTCAGGGCACATCAGCGCAGTCTTTACTGTAATAATTCTAAATCCATAACGATGCGTTAGGTACAGTGGTTTTGAGGGTTGCCAGCTGACGGGGTAAACTGAACCCCTTCGCAGGTCTGAGAATCAGGCTGCAATGGCCCCTTCTTTATGTGGCCTTTATGACACTCTCAGTCAGGCAACTCCTGAGGGGCCCTTACAGCGGCCTGGCACATACAGTAAATGAGTTGTCTCATGAGACGTCGGCGGAAATTCTAAAATATGTTTTCGAGTTGATAAGATTACTTAAGTAGGGTCGTCCGGCGGGGCCTCGTAGCTCAGGTGGTTAGAGCGTTGGCTGTACTAAAGCCTTCCCCTTACTGCGTGGATTCGAATCCCACCGAGGCGCCGAGTTTTTCACAGTTGGGTCAATAACCCTAAGGTACCTCAGTCACACCGGGAATGCTTACTCGTGAGTAATCTTCTTTTCGTCCGTCTGTCAGGACTACACTCAACAGAGTGACTGCTTAAGTAGTATGAATTTTCCGATTAATTTTCAACACACTTACATATTCAGCTATACTTTACAAAAACGGGCAGGAAATAATCTTTCTTGTACTCATTTGATAGCAAATTACGTCTTTTTCAGATTTTCTATTTCAAAAGAGAGGATCTCTCGGTTTTAAAAGTTTATAATTATGAGATCTTTTATTACCGGGAAGAGCCCAGTCATACAGCATCGTATCAATACGTTAGTTAATGCCACTCATTGAGTGCAAAACTTGATCCACATCCCCAGCACAATTGTGTGAGCCCTATATGGTGTCTTCTTGACTGCATAGAGAAAGATGTGATATCGCCTTGGCGGGATGTATACAGCATGTAGATTGGAAACGCTGAACGCAATTGCAACGGCAGGTGGGACAAAAATTACTCAGGAGTTGAAAAGGTTTTTAAAAGCCAAATCACACTCTCCCTTTGAATATAAAGATTACAGAAGACCTAGTTTGCTACCAAATGTGTACAAAAAAGAGTATGTTTTGCACGTTTTCTATTATATATAGTTGAATGTATAAGAGCATCGAAAATCAATGGCAGAAGTTCATAATACTTAAGTAGTCGTTTTTACAGGCTGTGGTTCTGGCAGCCGCCCGGGAAGAAAGCTCATTCGAAATCCTGCATCTCGGCGTGACTGAAATATCTTAAGATTGTGCTGCACGACAACTAACATGACAAACCTCCTCAAGTAATCCTATCAGATAAAAAAATCTGTCTAAGAATTTCGACCAAAATTTCATGATGTTCCACATCCACCGTACAGCGGGGACCAGGTCGTGTGTGGCACGCGTAAACGGGTCATTTAACGTGCGTCAACCACTGCGAGTGAGCCCGCTTCCGGTAGTCTTGACATTCTCATGCCGTCGGAGAAATGAGTGGGTGAGGAAAGAGGCTTTTTGGTACGTGCCTCTCAAGTCTACCCCACAACAGTTCGCGCTCAAGTCGCCTGAGCTGCGTCTACTACGTGGGACACGCAACGAATGTCGTCGTCCGTGGCGGTCGAATTACCAGACTGACTTAAAACTACACGCAACGACGGCATGCTGCTGCCTTCATTCGCTGCCTATCGAGTACTTCGATCAGGATAAAACGTGGTAGATAAGGAGGAGCGCAACTTCAAACCGGCTGGCGACTTACGTTCGTGCACAAGGCGGGTGTGGCGCTGGAGGTCTTTGTTCCATTTGTAGGATTTGCTGCAGAGTTCACAAACGAACGGTCGGAAATCTGGGACAGGAGATGAGACCAAAGTGTCAGGTAGATGCTACGGACAAAACCTAACCTCTTTACTGGCAGGCGGCCACAAAAGATCGCTTTTTTGGCAGCAAGCAAGGATTTGCCGGCCCTACCTGCAGGACTGGTGGACGCCTCAGTCGTCGTCGTTGTCGCCGCTGAGGGAATGTGGTTCTTATCAATCAGCTGGCCCTGTGGAGGCAGCTTCAAAGGCCAGGACTGTTGTTGAGGCTGCTGGTGGTCTTCAGGCTTCTGCTGAATTTGTGACTCTTGAAAAACAGAGAGAAAAAAACAAAACACAGTGAGTGGTCAATCGTTTTGCAGCGTGTACTCAATGCATTCTCGACTGTCGATAGTCCAAGACGATTCGGCCTCGCGTCCACGCGTAGAACTAAGCAAACGCTCAGACGATGCGTCTGTCCTTTAATCATCAAAAATCAACCATGATCACGCCTTGTTCGCTGAGCACTCTTAAACCAGAGCATGTGGAGGCCTTAAACTGTGCTAGTCAATGTGCCCAGTGCTACCTGACAGTTCGGTCTGCCAATGGTACCCTAAGAGGAATGAACTGCGAGTCGTAATCCGACTAGCAAATAATTTCAAGGTTAGCATGCAACAGGTCGCAGGTTGGCCTTGGAGTCCTGTCATCTGACCCTGCCCGAAATGCACGTGCTGGGATTGGCTAACTGAGCTCGGTGCGGATTCGAAGCGAAATTGAGTGTTCGAAGAGTCAAACTCGACACGAATTTAATACGCGATTAGAGGCCGATCCAGCGCATACCTTCCCTAAATTAAGAAGGCGGGGGTACTTTCGACTATCAAAAAACAGGGAGTTTCCAAATGACGAGGTGACTTGCACGGCCTCTGGGCCAGGGGCAGACGCGAATACTCGCTTCTTAGAGTGGCCTTTACGGCAACTCACATCAATATGGGATCCGATTTTGACTAACTCCAGTTTGCACTCTTGTGTAGGCATGGGTACGTGTGTATGCGCGCAGAGCATAGATGTGTGGTTAACAACACCAGTCATCGCCTGGACCTTCTCATTGTGATACAATGAAAGTGGTTATCAACAGAGAAGTGGACGCTGTGCGTGCCTTACTGACTACAAACCAATTCGAAGGTAAATGTTCATAGGCAGCGATGAAGACAAAATGCCGCTCGAAGAGGAAGTCCTTACGTACAGCCCTTCTCGTAGAAAACAGGTGAGAGCCCCAAAATTGGAGGTCCGCACTTCCCTCCTATCGACCCGGTCGAGGAGACGCAGAGGCCTTAGTTCGTCGTCAATGTACCCTCTACTCGAAACAAACTCTATGTTCAGAGGGCAGAAACCGGTCTTGTCAGGCTAGAGAGCAGTTTGGCTACGGCATTTCGTCAGAAATCTCTCTCAAGTAGGAACTGTTGGACGAAACAAAACCCTATCCGAAAAAATGTTCGAAAAGACTCTCGGCACGCGGTTGCGGGCTTTTTAATCAGTCGGAGTTACAATAATACCCACTTCGACTCTCCTATTTTCAAGTTGAGAAATGAAAGCTTCTCCCAGCATCTTAGGAACTGGGGAAAAGTGATCGCACAAAGTTGTCCCTGAGGGGATGCAGGATGAGGCGGTTACCAGGAGTTACAAACTTCTGACTCACTATATTCTGCGGGCACTACAATGACTTTTCTTGGCACGTTTGCCAGTTAGAAGGAAAAGTCTAATAGTTAGTAGGCGACTGGTAGATGTGGCCGTAATATGCCAGGGTCAGATGTGAAGTCAGATGCTCTGGTTATGTTCTAAAGAACCTTACCAGGTATTGCCTAAGGAGGGCATCACTAAGAACGGATAAGGCGTGGTTTGACTGGAGCCTCATGATCCAGCAGATATCAAAATGCTCACTAGGACTGAGATCCGGGAAACAGAAAAAAACGGGGAAACAACAGTGTGCCAGCTTCCGTTTTTAATGCTTGGACAGATGAGGAGAACTGGTACTCTGGAGGACGTAATTGAGTGGCTGCTGCAGCAGCAGCAGCATGAGCGAGTGTGTAACGTCCTCGGTTGGTGTGGGGTTCAAATTTCAAGTCGTCGCGACCTCGTTTTGGGAGACGTCCGGTTAATGACGGCAGATGGTCAGACTGGTCTCAGTCCTCTTTGTCGGCATGCCAACCAGACAAATTCCACGTATCTTGAAGCCAAGCTCTTGGTTAACGGACAGAGCAAGGGCATCGCTGTCCGGATTAATGTCACTCACGATGTTTTCGCAAAACCTTCACGTCGTCTACGACTGCAGCGATAACCCAACTAAAATAAAAGTCCGAGTGTACCGTTCGTAAGCTCCGTCTGTCCTCTCGGTCGATTGTGATGCTGGGCCGTGTTCTAGAATACGAGAAAAAACTGGCAGTTTTCGATCAACGACTCTCCCAAGTAAATTATGAGACATTCAGCCCTGACCACGACAGCCTCGCGAGAATGTCACCCGCCTACGTGTCGAGTGTTGTTCTAGCATCAACGCCGCTGTTTCACTGGAGGTGAGAAAAAGGTCAGCTCAAAACATGGCTCAAATCAGTCCATCAAAAGATTGAGATGGGTCGTAGGAGTCTGGTGATTTACCTCCAACGCAGGAGGGGAGGGTAGGCTGGGTTCATGAAGTTTGTTGTCGCTGATCGTCGTGCGTTGAAGGGTAGAGCAGAGGACATCGATGGCGCCGACTTCGCCAGACACAGATAAAGAACATGACAACAGTAGTAGAAGTGGTAGTAGATGGCTAAACAGTGTAATCTTGTTGATGGTCTCCTAGCAGAAAGAAGACAGTCTCCCCTAGTCTATGGCCGGAAACATTACTTAATGTGTTAGCGGGAGGCCTACGGAGGGTAATTGAGTATCAAGTGGACGGTCATTCTTCCTGTGATCGTCGTTTGTCGCGTCACGATATTATGCACAATGTTGGGCGGGTCGGTTTATCTCCCCTTGTTCAAATAGCGAATGTCAACTGCTTCATGGAGTTCGACATCATTTGATGTCGAGTAGGTGTCTAGTGGGTGGCCAACAGACTGTCGAGCCACAGGCCCAACTTTGCAATTGCGGGTAAATCAGATTGAGATGCTCGACCAATGGGTCAGGAGGTGCCATCGATGAATAAAGATGGAAACGGAAATGAACATTTCCGGTTTATCAACTATCGTCAGCCAACTATTCGCGAGCATCAGACCGAAATCCAGCTCAGTCGAAGCTTCGAGGCAAAACGGAACGCCCGTACTTCCTCATCCTGCACCCAGATAGATGTCCGGATCGTATTTTCATGTGACACTGGATGCAGTCCAAAAAAGTTCAGACGGACAATAGTCTTTTCCCACGAGAAGTTATATGCGAGCAAGCCGGCAAGATACCCCGATGAATGATAATAAAGTTCGCATCTGGAGGGAGGAGGAAAGTTAGAAAAGGAGATGGAGGTGCAAAGACGCAGAAATACTCACGTCCATGCACACGCCGATTGTGCCTCTGTAGATCCTTCTTCCATTTGTAGGCTTTCCCACACAGTCCGCAGGCAAACGGCCGGAAATCTAGCAAGATGATTTAAATAAGAGAGTATAAAATGGTGAGTTCAGCAGGAGTGCTGTAAATGCGTTTAAATACATGTCCTGCTGAGAACTATAGGACCTACCAGAGGGAGTGGATGTTGTCTGTGTGACGGACAAAATCATCGCTTTGGACCTGAGTTCGTCACCGGGCTGAGGCAACTGTTTAATCTGCCAGGTCTGTTCAGCTGCTTGCTTGCACCGCGAGTCTGATACTTGAAAGGTAGACAAATAAAACGCAAAAGAAGGCATTTAGGGTTGGACGGAAGTTCTACTATTGCCGGTATGGACTTGATTGAGACCAAGGCTCTTTTAGGACCTCATTTGGCAAAAACGGCGACGCTGACGAAGGGTGGAGTGCATAAATGGCTGAAATGGGAGAGTTCGCCAGGTGAATTTGTGGTGCCTGGGTGACCGTAGAGTTTGAAATACCTTTTTGTTTGAACTCATGATGCTTCGTCTACTGACATAGAAAGTCATCCGAGTATCCGTTGTGGGAATATAATCTAAAGAGATATTTCTTTTCTGCCCGTATTCCAACGTATGTATATGCATATACTGGAGTGATTCGGTGTGAAAAGGTTGGCAGGAGAAAGAACTAATATATAATGGGTGATAATCGCCCCAGTTGGTAAGCATAGTTGAAGACTGGTCCCGACTAAAGGTTAAAAGTCGGAAACTATTTCGTTTGAAAATGATCGAATAGCAATTCAGCTCATGTGATATGATAGTCGGACATACAAAAACGTGAAAAAAGAAAATGCTGAAAAGGGCACCTACGTTGATGCACCAGGCGGCTGTGTCTTTGGAGATCCTTCTTCCATTTGTAGGCTTTATTACAGAGGTTACATACAAAGGACCGATAATCTGACGAAAAAAGAAAGAAACACGGATTAGTCATAGCACAAAAGCTGTATATAAAGGGGTGTGCAATGGAACGAGCTACCTACCGGAGGGGGTGGATGCTGCGTCCGTTACTGAGAGAATAATGTTTTTAGTCGTAAGTTCGGCTTGTGAAGGGTGCTTTGCCGACCAAAGCTGATCACCAGCTTTGCACACAATTTGTGATTCCAAGACTAATAGTAGAAATGAGGCGGAATGTCATATGTGGAAAATGTTCAACAGACAGCGCGCAGCAAGGCAGGAACTTACCCTGAACCTCCGGCTTGATTTGAAGAAGACCCACAGATGAGTCCACTGTCTGAAGTTTTTGAGCTGGTTGATTCAGAATGCCCATGAAATTCATTTGCCCTGCAAACTTCAAAGGTGCAAAAACAAATTCTGATGGCTGCATGATGAGGCGTTGAAGTTGGGGCCACAGCAGAGAAAGTTTTCAGTTGATTCAATTGGCGTTTATACCTCTTACGTAGAAATCCCGACCAAGCAAGGGTCAAACCTGCGTTAATGCAGCATCTAACATCAAACTGTAGTTTCATGTCGTGAAAGATATGAAAAAGTTATGGTTTTTCTACGAATGACAGCAAGTTTTCTTAAAAGCAAGCTTGGAGTTTTATATATAAGTGGTAAACTAACAAAAATAATCTTATTCCCAAACTTTTCTTTTAACATCAACTTTTTGAGATGAGAAGAAGACTGCGCTTTCGTAATTGAGCTTCCTTTGGGGAATCTAGTATAACTACCTAGCTAAAGGCCAACAGAAGGGATGGAAACGACCGCCATAACCGAACTCTGACCTCTACAAATTCTTTGCACCAACCAACAACTAACGTCACACGAAAGATACATTTATTTTGGTATCATCCTCCTCTATGAGTTTAAGACCGCGCCAAGTGACTAAAAATTACGTAAAACTAATGCACTTTTACTTCTATTTACAACGATTGGGAATTTTTAACAGCAAACGCGGACAGGCTCGAATAACTCTGGCAGGTGAAAGGAATTTTACAAGAAATACTTCCGACCCCAACAAAAAGGAGCGTGAGAAGGTGCTAAAGCAGAAAACAGCTTTGCGGAGATTTGGAGGCTAGTAGAAGTATGGTTGGCCAAAAACTAAGTACGTTGAGAGTCGGTAATGGTTCTAAAGAGAAAAAAAGTTTTCTTAAACGCCTCTGTCTGCTTAATTTTCCGCCTGGAGACCAGCATTGCCACCTAAAGACAATGCTGGTTTGACGATTGGGTTGACTGGCGTGCAGAGAAAGCTTACGCAGAACCTATTTGTTTTCACGCTACGGAGCCGAGAAAAGATCCTGTCGAAGACCTGGATATTTTATAGGACAAAGCAAATATTGACTCTCCGTTACTTATTGGGGTAAAAGTAAAAATCTGGGAGCAAGATGCGATATTTTTCCTGAGCACGACGTGTGACTACAGGGCGAATAACGCGATGGTAGCTCATAAGGGGCGAGAAAGTGCAAAGGTCGACTTGGCCGTTGTCGACATAAAGTTCGTGATTGCGAACTCAGCCGAATTCGTAAAGTTAGCTTGTTTTAAAAATTAAAGCATGAAGAGATGGACGTAAAAAATATTGGAAGGGATACCTCGTGACATTCGGAATCTAGGTTTAATTAAAATAGACTGACGAAATTTATACGTAAGTCTCGAAAGGCTGTTTGCTTCACGTTGTGATGCCTGTTATAAACGGCCAAAGGGAGACTGTTTGGGCGAATAAAGGGCCATGCGCATTAGGGAAGCCGACTGCTATTTACTATTGACAGGAACGGCGGTAAAAAGAAATACGTCTGTTCTGCTGCATCGTTTGCAAACGGTAGTCACAGCGATGTCGATGAAGACTTCTTTGAGCGGAAATCAGTCAGCGTATGTGCAATTTAACCATGGTAACATTGTACTTGTCTCTGTCTTTCTCTGCACCGGCAGAGTAGATTAGCAGGGTGGTGACACGAATGGCTGACAGGGCAAAGTTTGCACACGTCAATGTAGCCCCCGACGCCACGGACGTCAAGCACGCAGCCGGATTGTTGGATGGATTGTGCCTGCAGAAATGACTAGAAAAGTCACGCGATCTCAAAGCCAGCCGCCGATTAAAATTACCCGAGCTAGCCCTGAGTGAGTATGGTACTGTCAGAGAAATTCAGTTGGGAACTGTGTACGACGAACCACAATGCTTGGCTGTGGCTTATGTAAGCATATGAACGGGGTGTGAGGAAAACATATTGTAAACTTGTTAAAAAGAACCACATGCTAGACTAACTATTATTGATTTTTATTCAATCCTCATACTTTTGTAAATATGGTAAAATGAAAAACAATCAACAATGCACTCCTTCTAGTTGTTAAGAAAAGGGAGAATAAAGCGCATGCGTATATGAACAATATAGACCACTCAGAAGGAACTTCTTCCCAGAACTGCAGGGAAATCAAATATCTTTTATAACAAAGACAAGTACACACCATGTTTAAAATGTCCACGGACAGTTTGTATGCGCTGAAAAGTACGTGCAGGCTAAGAGTCGCCTTCAGCGAAGGAATATGAATAGATAGGCTCGTGTTCAAACATCCAGCGTGGGAACATAGGGTATCTAATGTGAACAGTTTATGGTGAATTTCATTCTTACTAAGCGCCGAGATGTTGAACATAAATATGCTTCTTCTACTGAGTCGAACAAACCCTCAGCTAACCGTTTGAGTGAACTCGGTTGAATTTCAAAAGACAGTTTGGTGGTCATATGTTAACTTTCGGTAAATTCTCTTCAGGCCTGCGCAACTTAATTTTTATCGA